TTAAATGATAACTTGCTTTAGTCAAACCTCACACCATAAAACAATGTTACCTAATCTGTTACCTAAATAAGCTATTTTTTTTTTTTTTTTGCAGAACGCCGTTGTCGTTCCATCAGCAGCTGTTTGCTTAAAGTCCTTAATTAATTCATTTAATGGATCATTGTGGATTCTCTGTGCAGATTAAGGAAGTAGAAGCGAACGGAGACCATGTTTGTTCATTACTTGACAAGCACTAAGCAGTGAGGTAAGCTGATAAATGTCCATTAATTCACTACTGCTCTCCACCATCATCATGTTGTACCGCAGGCCTCCCCAATAGAACAGTGCTGTGGGTGCTGCAGCTTTCTGCCTCTTACATAGAAACACAAATCCCAGTATGATGGCCAGCCCCACCCATCATGATAGCAGATAAATCAGCCCTGACATCCTGTAGACTCAAACTGAAAGGCTTATGACTTCAACGTACAGCAGGGCTTTATTTTTGCTAGGACAGTAATCTAACGATCTCTGGAGAACTCTTTGACTACACAATAACACTAATAACACATAGCATATATTTATAGTACAGTATTAGAGTCACTCTTTTTATCTCCGCTTCCATCTCTCTCATGCTTTAAGAATGAATCACTAAAAATTTTATTAGAGCGGTAGCTGAAACCTGATTGGACTCTGAATTACTGATAGAGTGCAATTATATTGTACTTTCCGAGCCAATCAGTGCCTCAGCGGGTACATTATCACACACACAGATGATTTACAGAAAGTGCAATGATTTCCTCAGGGGCAGGTACACAAACACAGGTGCGTCAGAGTGTGTGTGTGTGTGTGACCTCAGGGTCTCAGTAAATAATAACACAAGCGTGCGTGCGTGTGTATAAAAGCAAGAGCATCTGACCTCCCAGCGAGTAATCAGGTTGAGATGATGTCATCCATCAGGATGAAGTCAGGGCAGAAGAGTGTGTGTTTGTGAGCGTAAAGACAGTAACTGGTTTATTTGCATCTTATTTGCATTTTTATTAGGTCTTTAATGCTATACCCCAGTGTTCACTTACTATGCTGATAAACCGACTGAAGGACTCGCACAGACACACAGTCGCACAATGGAATAAATCCTTAGAGTCAACAAACTAATTCCAGAGTCACACGGGTTAATGCAAACATGCATTAAGACCCATTAGAGGTGCCTGCACACACACAAGGGATATTGTTCAGTGTGAAAGTGACCGCACAAGACCTCCCGCTGTAAACTGCAGAGAGTAAACGAGAGAAAGGGAGAAAGGTCTAAAAAGAGAGATCAATTATAAAGCAGATAAGCGTGTATGTGTGTACATATTGCAATTTAGTCATTTATTAAACTTAGCTCCAAAGCCACTTCCCTAATAAGAAGCTCAGCGTCCCTGGAGTGACCTGCAGTTAAGTGTTTTGCTCAAGGACACAACTTCGATTCTTGTCACCTTAAATGGATAGTTCACCCAGAAATTTAAATACTGTCATCATCTCACTCACCCTCATGTCATTTGAATTCCAGATTTTTATTTTTTCTTGGAATACAAAAGGTATTTAGCAGAATTCTGTTTTAGGGTTTGTATATTTGATATGTTGACCATGATTAAAAACTATCCCAGACCAAGGCCACTTTTTTGTGGTCTGGTGTGGTATCAAAACCACGATCACACTTTTATGACAGGAAAACACATGTTCACATAGACATAGCAGCTGAACTGCAACTGAATTACCTGGTCCCTTTCTTGATATTGTGCTTACTGGTGACACTGGTCGGCCTGGCAATGGGTTTCTTTGGTTTTATCTCTCCATGTGCCTAGAACAAAACACAAATATACCAGAATGGGTTTTAAGGAGAGGTTTTATACAGTCTAGATATGTATGCAAAAAGTTATCCTTAAAAAAACTTGCAAATTAACTGATCATTCAACTACACTTTCTGAAAGCTGTTAGCCAGCATGTTAATACAACAGTTTGTTAGGTTCCCATTCCAGTTTCACTACACTTGGCAATTGGCTTCTACGAACAATGTTTTTTAAACAGCAAGATTTTAGGTTAAAAATAGCAAATAAAAAAAAAATCAAAAGTTTGGAGTCAGTAAGATATTTCCTTTCTTTATTTATATGTTGTTGTTTTTTTTTTTTAAGAAATTCATACTTTTATTCAGCAAGGATGCATTCAATTGATTGAAAGTGACAGTGAAGACATTTCTAATGTTGCAAAAGATTTCTATTTCAAATAATTGCTATTCTTTTAAAATTTATATTCAGAATCATGGAAAACTATATCAAGGTTCCCACAAAAATATTAAGCAGCAAAACTATTTTTAACAGTGATAATAATAAATATTTATTGTGCACCAAATCAGCATATTAGAATGATTTCTGAAGTATTATGTGACACTGAAGACTGGAGTAATCACTGCTGAAAATGTAGCTTTGCCATCACAGAAATAAACTAGTTAATTCAATAAATGAAATAACAAATTACATAAATTAAGTATATTAACATTTTTAATATATTAAAACAGAAAGCAGTTATAATAATATTTCACAGTATTACTATTTTACTGTATTTTTTACTTTAAAAATCAATAAAAAATCTTACCGACCTCAAACTTTTGAACAGTAGCGTACATAAATGTAAAATACATTTAAGTGTTGTAAATCCCCACCATTTCTTTCACATTTAGCATAATTTTCAATCATATTTTTGACTTCAATAAACTTGTACAATATTTTTTTCATGTACAAGTTTCCTTGTAGCATTATTAATATCAGATGCAAAAGCCAATACATAAAAAAAAGAAAATACTTCTTAAAATAGTTTTAGGTGAAGCACAGCATGTCAGACTGCAGGGCACATCAACTTTCAAAAAGTACTTCACATCAGTTAACTACATTATGGCACAGTTCTGGGATTATATTGAAGGGAATGATTTTAACAGATATTATATTTGGTAAGATTTCTCTCGTTGATGTTCATACTGCACAAACTGGGATGGAAACTATATTCAAAGACATCAAGAGGGTGTTTGAAAGGTGTGTTTCAGGTGTTGTGAGCTGTACCAGAGGCAGGATGAGGAGCAGGTGGCCGGTGGTTTGGGATCTCTGTGCTGTGCTGCTGTCAGGTGTCACTTCTGCAGGCAAAACCAGCTGGAACACCTGCGCACACACACACACACTTTTATTAATGTGGGGTTCCAAGCGCTTGCCACTGTAAAAGTGATCTACAGTATCACCAGTCATCACGAGATCAGTCACACACAAACATACACACACACACACGCACAAACATCTGTGGTGTGGTGAGGCGAGAACCGTTACTTGTGCTGGTCTGCGGCAGATTTGTGAGGAAATGAGGCAGAATAAAGAGTGTAGATTTACTGCTGGGTAATCAGCTTTAAAGGTCAAACTCATCAGATGAGAGAGAGAGAGAGAGAGAGAGAGCCCTGCCCTGATCTGATGTTTCCAGCACATCTACATTATATTATGCCAAATTACTGTATTATATTACTTAGATGTCTATTTTGCTTCTGTAAATATGTCTAATCCCTTATTTTATTTTTATTTCTAGTTTATATACTTACATACATTAGTAACTCATTTCGCACTACATGCTTAATGCTTTTTATATATTATTATTATTACTATTATTATTTTTCTTTCTGTTAATACATATGTGCACTATTTGTAAGCAGTCCAGCTGCAATTGCTTTGGCAATACAAATGTAAAATTTTTGTCATGCCAATAAAGCACTCTTAAATTGAAAATTGAAATTGAGAGAGAGAGAGAGATGGATAGTATACCTTTCCTTTGACGGTCACTCTCACGTATGTTGGCTGAACATCCACATCCAGCAGTGAGGTGTCCATATGCCTACGGCACAGAAGAGACCAATGTGAGAGTGGATGCTGTTAGGAGAAAAGTTACTAAATGACAAATACATTTTACTCAAAGAAAAAAAGAAAGTATACTGCTAAATCATGACTTAATCATTTTGTGCCAATTGTTGTGCAGGACAAGAGCCAGCTGGAGTGAGTGAGTGAGTGAGTGAGTGTGTCTGTACCTGTAAACATGTATTTCCAAACGCATGCAGTTGTTCTCATCCTCAGTGAGACTGAAGTCCAACCTTGGAGGTAGAGATCACATGAAATAAATATTTCTAAAAAAAAAGCTGGTACTATAGTGTTTGAGTATGTGTATGAGCTCATGTGTATCTCTGGTTGGAGTGAGGCACTGTTGATGTATGATATATATGCTGTTAGGAAGTTACTAAATGACAAATACATTTTACTCAAAGAAAAAAAGAAAGTATACTGCTAAATCATGACTTAATCATTTTGTGCCGATTGTTGTGCAGGACAAGAGCCAGCTGGAGTGAGTGAGTGAGTGAGTGAGTGAGTGTGTCTGTACCTGTAAACATGTATTTCCAAACGCATGCAGTTGTTCTCATCCTCAGTGAGACTGAAGTCCAACCTTGGAGGTAGAGATCACATGAAATAAATATTTCTAAAACTCAAGCTGGTACTATAGTGTTTGAGTATGTGTATGAGCTCATGTGTATCTCTGGTTGGAGTGAGGCACTGTTGATGTATGATATATACTGTATCTCTCCTGTGACCTAGTTTAGCCATCTTACCTGTTGTTGATTTCCTGTTTATCACTATAAATAGATTCAAGTTATCACTTGTGCTTTTATGCCTGTCTTGCTAGCCCTAGTCTCATCTAGCCAGACTTTTGACTGTTGGCATAAATTCTGGTCCACTTTGCACATTATTCTGCCCACACTCTCAGAAAAAAAAGGTACAACTGACACTGGGGCGGTACCCACTCAAAAGGTACGAATATGTACACTTTAGGTACTAACATGTATTCTTTAAGTAAGCTAATATGTACCTTAAATGTACGAAGATGTACCATTTATGGATAAATGGGGTACAGAGATATACCTTTTAATTTTTGTACCTTAGAGTACTGCTCCAGTGACAGCGTTGTACCTTTTTTTTTTGATAAGTCCATTTGTTTGCTTTGCCTCATTGAATTTTGACCTTATGCCTGTTTTTGGACATATGCATTTTGGATATATGCAGTTTTCCATTTTTCCTTTTGGATTGTGGATTCTGTCACTTTAAAATGGTGAGAGCTGGCTTCAGTCTGACTGACTGCAACACGATTTATTGTAGCCAGGGTCTGTCCACCACAACACAAAATCATGTTCATAAGGTATGGAATTGTGCCTTAGAATTTATGAATTTGTTTGAGAAAATAAGCAGCAAGCAAAAGAAAATGTGTTTGGCTGCTTTCTGTCAGCTGAGTTCGTCCTGTCTAAGTAGGACAGTCCTTGGCTAGAATAATCTGCAAATTGGACCGCACTGACGTTTGGCTACACATGAGTAGTGTGTTTGTGTGTTTTTGTGTGTGTACTTGGGCTCATTGATGTTCAGCACTCGTCCATCTGCAGTAATCAGAGTTCTAGGGGTTTTGGTTTTAGGCTTCTCTCTGTAGAAACACAGAATTGACTGCAGTAAGAAACATTGTTTACAGGAAAAACATGCAAAAGCTTAATGTCTTTCTCTTCTTTATCTCATAGAAATGTAAAGATTGAGAAATGGGCATCACAGTGATATTTAGATATAGATACCATTACAGTGATTTCAGTCCTCTTTTTCTTAGTAAGCAAGTACCTCTCTTTCTCTTTGGCCCTTCTCTTGTCCTCCAGATGGCGATGGGCCTCTAGTCTGGATTCTGGTGTGAATGGGCATGGCTTTTCCCAGAATTCCTTCTCTTTATCCTCGGTGTGGGCCTTGGAGCTTGATTCTGGATTCTGATGGGTCCCGTTTTGGTTTTCAGAGAGCAATCTGTGTGAAATAATCATTACGGTTAAGGCTCATCAAAAGAAAAAAATCACAGTTCTGGCTCAAAGCAGATAACTCTCTTTTTTACGCAAAACACCATAGTATGTTCATATTCAAAGAAATTTCTTCAAAATCAATTATATTATGAGGAATTTTCTGTGAATGTAGCTTTTCAAGTACCTTCAATAAGCTTTTCAAAAGAGAGTTTAGGGTGAATCAGTATAAAACCTGTGTGTACTTTCTACTGTGTGAATTATACAGACTTCAATAAGTTTACTTTAATTTCTAAAAAGGTAAATTTCAGGGTACAATCTGTAAAATTTATCTAATACAACCCGCATTTTAGCTCTCCTAATTCAGTTATTCAAACTTCAGCTACTTTACAGACACTCACTGGTTTATTTGAGGATCCTCCTGCTTTTCTGTTGTCTCTTTCAAACCACTTATTTTTTGTTCCTCTCTTTTCTCTAAATACTCCGCCTCCTGCTCTAAAACATGTCTCCTCACTGCGTCCAGTTCCTGCAGGGCCTGAATACGCTCACCTCGCCTGATTTCTTTCCCATCCAACCACTGCAAAGCACAAAAGACAGTCGTTCATAAATAGCGCAAGGCTAAAAATGTCTCTGTATATGTCTGTCTCAGTGCAATACCTGTAGTTGAGGCAGACATGACACCACATACTGTCTGTATCCGTGAAATTCAGTACAAGGGTTTCCCACCAGGTAGAGCTCTCTGAGAAGAACGTTCTGCTTCAGAGACTCCACACTGCTCAGCTTACCCACAAAATTCACCGTCAGGTCTAGTTTCTGTAAGCTCTCACAGCCTACACACAAATACACACATATATTAGTTACATGCATACACGTGAACTGATTGACACAAAAATCAAGCCTGCTTAGAGCTGTAATACAGTATGTTTGCAACAAAATACCTATATTACACCACACTTTTCAAGCAAAACATTTCACAAAAAGAGAGCTGCTAATTTTCAAATGATGAACACATATACTGTTAAAATTAAGCATTTGAACATTTTCTGGTTGTCAGAATTGAATCATGTACATAATTCATATGATAAACTACACTTGTGGTTGCTCTGCTAGGACACTCATGTGAATTTGAGGAGAACTGCACATTCGTTAAAAACAATGTTGGGACCAGTTGGTTAAAAGTTAATTAAATGGTTCAGAATTTTTTTTTATTATTTCTGAGTAGGTGTCACGCCCTTGGACTGCCCCTGTGTTCCCTGTCTTGTGTTTTGCTCCCCATGTGCTCCGTATGACCCAGTTTCCCTCGTGTTGATTTGTGTTTTTTGATTTCAGGTGTTCCCTCATTAGTTTCCATGGTTGTTGATGAATTACTCCACCTGTTTCAGTTCTCCCTGATTACGTTCCCTGTGTTTATAAGCCCAGTGTTTCCTGTGTCTAGCTTCCGGTGTTAAACGCCATCTCTGTGTGTGTTACCCTGTTCATTAAAGTTTGTAAAGTTGAGTTACTCCTGCGTCTCCTCGTTCCGACAGTAGGGTCATTATCAGAGGCGGACAGTAACTAAGTACATTTACTTGAGTATTGTACTTAAGTACACTTTTTGAGTATCTGTACTTTACGTAATGGAGTAATATTTGACCAGCAGTATCTGTACTTTCACTCAAGTAATGGAGTTGAGTACTTTGTCCGCCTCTGGTCATTATAGTTAAAATCATATAAAAACGTTTTTATTACTTGACATAAAATAAATGTTAAATTAAATAAAATGACAAAAAAAAAAACTTGCCAAGGAAACAGCTCTCATTTTCATTTAACTTGATGTACTAAAATAACTCAAACTGAAACAAAAATTACTAAAAAACATAGACATATTTTTAAAAAAACTAATGCACAAAAATCCACAAAATTGCTAAAACTTACCAAATTCACTATATATATATATATATATATATATATATAGTCTGCCCACATTTTCTGCATAAACAAAGTTAAAAGCATATGAATAGCCATGCGTTTAGTTGTGTTCCCACTGATATGTTCAGGAATGTTTGCTTAACGTTACCTATCTTTGGGATGAGGTTGTTCTGTAAGTAGAGGATTTTGAGGTCTCTGCACCATTTGTCGATATGCTCGATCCTCTCGATGTCCTGCTGATGGAGGGAAACCTCCTCCAGGGAAAAGATCTCCCCATTATTGTGTTCTGCTCTGCGGCGGATCAGATCCTCACTGACTGATCAGAAAGCAGGGAAAGAGAGGATTAGTTTACCAACAGCAAAACCGCAAAAAAAACAAACATTTAACTTTATTTGTGAAGAATCATTTATTTAAAGAGGCATATAATACAATAACTGTTTTATTATATGAATAGATTAAAATTGTCTTTATATTAGGAATAAAGCACTTACTGCGGACCATGACTTGCTGGCAAGTGTGTTATGCGTTGCTATAGAAATGGGCACGCTGCAGAAGCTCGTGCTTGTGTTTCCAGGCCTATCCTTTGAAACGTTCCACCCGAGCAAAACATCAGAATCAAAAAATCATTCAGTATTTATTTCGACAATAATAGTCCTAATCTTCACTAGCACTGTGTAATCGTGACACACGGCTGAACAACAAGTTTATTGGCCATTCATCAACAAAACGCTCCAGTTGCTCAGTTTATATTCAAGTAGCAACTCTGCCACCTAGCGGTCAGGGTGAACAATAACAGTCAAAGAAATGTATTGATTTTGGAGATGCTGAGTGAAGGATGTAACAACATTCTTCTGGATTGGGGGAACTAAATGTTTTAGACATATTTTAAAATCACATAATTTTCCAGAATTGCCTGTCAATTCCAATTGTTTCAGAATTGGTGGGGGCATTGATCTGGTTCGCCCGCAGATCTGGCAACAGATTCATCGAATCCAGGAATCCACGTAACACAGAATAAACATGTTTTCCACATGTTAGTATCATTGTTGGGACAGTTGACAGTAGCCATTGATTTCCATAGTATGGAAAAAAATACTGCAGATGTCTAGTGGCTTCTGTTTGGTTACCAACATTCTTCAAAATATCATCTTTTGTCTTAAACAGAACAAAGGAATTCATACATGTTTGGAACAAGTGGAGGGTGAGTAAATGATGGCAGAATTTTCATTATTGGGTGAACTATCCCTTTAAGTTCAAATGTCATATGCCTACATGAGAATTAAATGTGAGTATTCTTCATGCTCCAGATTCAAATAATATTGGCAGTAATAGACAAGAATGAGAGACTTAAGAGAGTTGCCCTTGCAGTAATGTTTATTGAGTGAACAGTACCCAGCATTACAGAGTGATTCCTGTGGTAAAACATAATACATCAGGAGAAAAACACACACAATGTGAAAATACACAACATTCAGGGAACTTTTAAAAGCTGGTCAAGTAAAATATCTGCTGGAGAAATCATTATACATTTATTTATACTGTATTGCTTGATGTAGTATTCATACCTGTTGATATTGGTCAACAGAGTAGACTAAGTGCTAGTTTGCTGTAGATTACAAAAAATCTCTTTCAAAACCTGCTGCAAAATTTACAGAAATTGTGTAGATAAAATGAACATAATAAACTAAATTTACATAGATTGCTCTTACATACGAAATCTCAGAGAAAATGATTGTATATTTTTCCTGCCCTTTTGAAAATAAATCAAGGACTACATTTTACTGAAATACAACACGTATAGTAATTAATCACTGAATGTGCTAAAGTAGAAATTTCATCAATCTTGTGAAGACAGTATATTATTAATATTGTTTGGACTGTTACTGTCATTGATGACTCTTCCATATTCATACATTAAGTTCTCTACAATAATTATTTTTTTTATTCAGAAATCGGGCATGTGTTATTTCCACAGAGTTCGGCAGACTTCAGAACGTCTTATAGTTGCTGATTTATTTTGGAGCTCAAACTTCTAATATGCAGTTTTATTTGCTGAATCACTTGAATCATCTATATTTTTAGATCACACAGTTTAACCTTTGATTCTGTTCTGGAAAAGAATACAGATAGTGAATTGAAATTAAACCCAGCATAGAGAGGCTGAGTGAATGTGGTGTGGACTCTGTGAATGAGGGTCATTGTGTCAGAGACTCTGTAGAAGGACAGAGTTCCTGCACCGTGATCCACGTACACTCCTATTCTAGAGGAGCTGGAGACTACAGGGAGTTCAGTTCCTTCGTTATTGTGCCAGAATGAGCAATTGGACCTATAGCAGGCCAAACTCCAGGACTGATCATTACAACCAAACTCACTCTCATCACCCCGTCCCTTCCTGTTGATGCTCTTATATGACACTGATATATCCACCCGCCCACTCCACTCAACCTCCCAGTAACAGCGTCCACACACACTCTCTCTACACAACACTTGTGACCAGTGATCAAATCTGTCTGGATGATCAGGATACGGCTGGACTTTATTAGTGTACGTAATCACTTTGTTCCCCTCAGACAAACAGAGAAGTTTGTTCACTGTGTTTAAATCCACATTGAGCTGACGTGAATCTAATAGAGACAGAGCATATAATACACATGTAAATCAGGAAATCTAAACTTCACTCATTAAAACTTTTTATAGACAGTAACACGGTTAAAGTGAAGGTAACAGAGAGCCGGTACTTTTGATATCAAGTGACGTGACTCTCGCTGTAATTGACATCATAAAACTGTGTCTACATGAATTGTCAGAGTCTCTTTGTTCTTTAGTTGCACAATAGAAATGTTTGATTGTATTCCTCAAATTCTTTTACTAAGAAGTCATAGAGTAATTCATGACTCATTTATTGGCTCTAGTTCTGCGTTCATAAAAAAAACTTGTTCTGATTAAATACTGAAGGAATATAACTGATTTGAATCTCATGTGAAATAAAAATCATGATTGATGTTTGTGTATTTAATGGAGTTTAGTCTGCATGTTTCAGTCTGTTGTTGAATTTCATTATAGTAGGTTTAACTGTCATTAGTCTTGGTGTGTGTTTCTTTGAGACTTACATTGTAGAAACTCCTTCCTGGTTTTGGGCTCAGGGGTAGGACTGTTCATAATATCTGTTACTATGGAAACCAAAGATATGATTTATTGTAATTCAGGGAAACTAAATCAAAACCATGTCAGATTCCGATATGCTTTGTACTTCTACACAGTGTTATATGATGAATGACATACTTCTCTTATTAAAGAAAGAGTCATTGTTTTACCTTTACTAGATAACCTTTTTATCTCCTCTCTGCAGAAATGCTCCAGTTTCTCTCTCATTTGAGTCATGGATTTTTCAACATCATCAAAAGAGAGACAAGAACTGAGAGTGATGCTGGGCGAGTCTGTAGATCCAGGAGGGACAGAGAGAGACTGGAAACACTACACAAACACAAAGACACAAAACACCAGCTAAAGACACAGAAACATTTGACAGAAACAATCTCTGTACAACATGCTCTTCCCTTCCTGAAGACCACTGTCCTGTTTGTCAGATCTCTGTTACCTGGAGGAAATGGATGTGATTGTCTGTGTGTGAAAGTTGCTCCAGCTCAGCGTCTCTCCTCCTCAGATCTTCAATCTCATTTTTCAGTTGCTCCAATAGTACTTCAGCTTGACTCAATGCAGATGTTTCTTGAGCCCTGATCAGCTGTGTGACCTCAGAGCGGCTTCTCTCAATGGAGCGGATCAGCTCAGTAAAGATCCTCTCACTGTCCTCCACTGCTGCCTGTGCAGAGCGCTGGTAGGACACAGAGAGAGAAGCATCAGAATCAGTCCATTCACTCAGCTCTTACTGCTACCTCACACAGCCTGTTCCCCACAGTGAGCTTCAGTGGGACTGAAAGAGCTCCAGCACTGGCTCCTCGCTGACTGACTGAGGAGAGTCCAAACTGAGTCTGAAACAGCTCTTCAGCAGCCAGCAGCTGTTCTTCTGCTCAAAACTCACCTTGTGAGACTCTACAGACTTTCTCAGCCTCTGAATCTCCTCCTTTCTTTTCTCGATTTTTTGGCGGAGTTTTCTCTGGGTTTCTTCCAACTGTCTCTGTAGAAATAACAAACACGTTCAAAGTCCATTTGTCATATGCTCTTCAGATGACAGCTAATTACAGCTGTCCCTATGTATGAGACTGCCACGAAATGAATAGTTACAAAGTAAAACAAATATGGTGATAAACTAAATGATTACATAATAGTATTATCATTGTTTAGAACTACTCAGTCATCTTTTACTATGTAGCTGTTATGGAATCATAAATATTTGTATTTAGTACAAGTACTAGCAGTGTCTTTTAGTTCATACCTGTTTCTCTGTCCACTCAGCTACAGCAGATACAGTCTTGTGGTTTCTGTGCACATCCATTGTACACAGATAACATACACAGTGCTGGTCAGTACGACAAAAAATTTCCAGCGGTTTATCATGTAGAGGGCAGATCATCTCCTGCAGTCGTCCAGTGGCGTCCATCACGTTATGTCGCTTTCCTGAGTAAAATTCTTCATCCCGTTTAAAATGATTTTGACAAAAAGATTCTAGACACGTCAGACAGGACTTGATGGCTTTGTTTTTGTCCCCAGTACACACGTCACACTCCACATCTCCAGATTCAGCGTAACACTGGTCAGGATGAACAGCTTGGAGTTTTGTCTTCTTGAGTTTCTCCAGCACTTCAGCCAGCATGGTGTTTTTACCTAAAACAGGTCTTGGAGTGAAGGTCTGTCTGCACTGAGGGCACCTGTAGACTCCCTTCTGCTCATCCTGATCCCAGTAGCCTGTAATACAGCTCATACAGTAACTGTGTCCACAGGGAATTGTCACTGGATCCTTTAGTAGATCCAGACAGACTGGACAGACAAACTGATCCTGAGCCAAAGAAATACTGGATTCTGCCATTTTAATGCTCAACAATGGATCACATATAGTTTTCTCTGAACTGAGCTGTTTCCTGGTTTTGTGTTTAAGAATCATGTGCATACGGGTGTGCCAATAAGATAATAAAAAGTTAAACAATATAGGACAGCCTCAAATACAGACTCAATATAAGCTGAGTGTAAGAATGCAAAGCTACAGTGAGCCAGTAGAGGGCACTGTCTCAGACACTATCAACACATACAGTACATCCCTCCACTGTCCAAAATGCTCATCATCTTTAGGGTCACAGCAACTATCAACACATGAAAGCAAATCCAGAAAGTCAGTCCGTCCGAAGAGGCAAGGAAGGCTTTGAGTATTTTTTAAATCATGTTTTAACTGATTTACCCATTAATGTGCATAATTCAGATGTGTTGTATTAGTGATTAGTGAGATTGATGCGGCATTGATTATCAAGACTATTTTAATAGGCCTACTGTATATCAGGGGAATATCATTTGTGTACATGAGCATAATTATTAGCAAATATATGAAAACCTGCTGAAATATGTTATTGGTTCAATGATAAATATTATTGTACATATCAGCCTCCACAAAAAATTACCACTGCAGTAGGCTATTTAAAGAATATACACTAGAATCTAAATTCTTCTCAACACAACCACACATTGCCCCTGACACGATTTACTCACTCTGGTGTTGTTCCAAACCAATGTGACTGACTTTCTTCTCTGGAAAAAAATACTTTTTTTTTTTTTTTTGGACAAATATCCGGGTTATTGCGAATGTCATGCTCCAAAACAACAAAAATACTGTAAAAGTGGACCTTATTATTCACTTATAAATTTGTTCAATTTAAAGACAGGAGAGCTGCTGTAACAAAGAAAATGTTACTGGGAATCTGAAAACAACAGCATGTGGTATGTCTTTCCCATAAAGCTTGGTGGCAGCAACATGGATTTGATTGATTTATTTGAGCATGAGCAAGATATTAACTGATTTAACTACTTTATTACTTATATCAAGCTATTTCATTTCAAAGAGGAATTATTAGATACACTCATTTAACAGCGAGTTGTTACAAGGGTCTCTCGTTCAAATGTCACACGTCTAAACAAGAAGTAAATATTCAATGTTTTTTCATGCTCCAAAAAACAAAAAGGAAGAAGAAGAAGAAAATCACCCCAAAAATATAGACAAGAATGAGAGAGTTGAGAGAGTAGCCCTGGCAGTGATGTTTATTGAGTGAACTGTACCCAGTGTTACAGAGTTTTTGTAGTAAAACGGAATACATCAGCAGAAACCCACAAAAAGTGACAACACACAAAATACAGGGAGGTTTTATGACTCCTATTAAATCTAATCAAGCAAAATATATTTTGACTTACTGATACTGATCAACAAAGTAGACCAATAAGCTCTAGCTTGCTTGTTAACTATTACAATTTAGGTGTCTGTTGCAAAACTTACAGAAATTGTCTAGATCAAAAAAACATGAATTTTACTGAAATAGATTTTAAATACATTTTAATGTGGGTTGTTGTAATGTATAATGAAATACATTTTACTGTGGGTTGTTGAATGTGAAATTTCATCAGCCTCTGAAGACTTGAACATACACAGTGTAACCTGATATTATACTATACTGTCAAAGTCAATTTTAATATTCATTTCTTTTTTATACTCACCAGTCATTGTTAGATCATATCAGAAGATATTTTTTCAGAAAGCTGCCAAGTTTTTTAATGAGAGATGATCAGTGTTGATTTATTTATTAGAAAGTAAAAGACTTCAGTATCCAAGTTGCTGATTTATCATGAAGCTTAAACTGTTAATATGCTATTTTATTTGTAGAATGAAGTTGTATCTTATTTATAACTTACATAGTTTAACTTTTGTTACACTTTTACATAATGAACTGAACTCAAACCCAGCATAGAGAGGCTGAGTGAATGTGGTGTGGACTCTGTGAATGAGGGTCATTGTGTCAGAGACGCTGTAGAAGGACAGAGTTCCTGCACCGTGATCCACATACACTCCTATTCTAGAGGAGCTGGAGACTACAGGGAGTTCAGTTCCTTCGTTATTATGCCAGAATGAGCAACGAGAGTCAGAGCAGAACAAACACCAGGACTGATCATTACAACCAAACTCGCTCTTCTTTCCCCGTCTCTTCCTGTTGATGCTCTTATATGACACTGATATATACACCCAACCACTCCACTCAACCTCCCAGTAACAGCGTCCACACACACTCTCTCTACACAACACCTGTGACCAGTGATCAAATCTGTCTGGATGATCAGGATACGGCTGTTCTTCACGAGTGTATTCAATCACTCTGTTCTCTTCCGACAGACAGAGATTCTTATTTACTGTGTTTAAGTCCAGAGTGAGTTGATGAGAATCTAATGGAGATAGAGCATGTAATCCACATGAAAGTCAGCAAATTTCAATCATTAAAATAATACTTAAGTTTTACTTAGCTTTTTATGGACCGTAAAACTATTTAAGCTAAGATAAAAGTGAGTTTATGAATTGTTAGAGTCTGTCTTTAGTTGCAAATTAGAAATTATATTTTGATGTTAGGGTGATTATAAATATATATATATATATATATATATATAAGCTGCCGTTGCATGATCCATATGGATGCTGCACATTGGTTGTGTTTGAGGAGAAAAACTGATTCAATATTAAAGGTTAACTGATTTGAATAAAGTCTCATGTGAAATGAGAATCTTTATTCATGAACTGATGTTTGTTCATAGTTATGTATTTTAAGAAGTATTTTTTATTTTGCAGTTTTATTGGGTGGGTTAAAACCTGTTCAGAGAGACTTACATTGAAGGAACTCCTCCCTGGTTTTCGGTTCAGAGGTGGGAATGATCACAATGTATGTTACTATGGAAACAGATCTGTATTATAATTCACATACTGTATAAAGAGAAACTATTAAAACCATGTCACATTCAGATATTGATATGCTTTGTACATAAAAAATATTACATTATTACATTATATTTTATTGGGTGGGTTAAAACCTGTTCAGAGAGACTTACATTGAAGGAACTCCTCCCTGGTTTTCGGTTCAGAGGTGGGAATGATCACAATGTATGTTACTATGGAAACAGATCTGTATTATAATTCACATACTGTATAAAGAGAAACTATTAAAACCATGTCACATTCAGATATTGATATGCTTTGTACATAAAAAATATTACATTATTACATTATACTGCATGTATGACCTATTTTTCTCATAAACGGATGAGTTAGTGTTTTACCTCTACCAGATATCTTTTCTATCTCCTCCCTGCAGAAATTCTCCAGTTTTTCTCTCAGATGAGACACAGATTTACCAATATCATCAAAAGAGAGACGAGAACTGACAGTTATTTTGGGCGAGTCTGTAGATTCAGGAGGAACAGAGAGAGACTGGAAACTCTATACAAAGACACAAAACACCAGCTAAAGACAGAAACATTTGATAGAAACAAAAATCTCTGAACAACATGCTCTTCCCTTCCTGAAGACCACTGTCCTGTTTGTCAGATCTCTGTTACCTGGAGGAAATGGATGTGATTGTCTGTGTGTGAAAGCTGCTCCAGCTCAGCGTCTCTCCTCCTCAGATCTTCAATCTCCTGCTCCAGTTGCTCCAGCTGTCCTTCAGCTCGACTCACTGCAGCATTTTCCTGATCTCTTATCAGCTGTGTGACCTCAGAGCGGCTTCTCTCAATGGAGCGGATCAGCTCAGTAAAGATCCTCTCACTGTCCTCCACTGCTGCCTGTGCAGAGCGCTGTTAGGACACAGAGAGAGAAGCATCAGAATCAGTCCATTCACTCAGCTCTTACTGCTACCTCACACAGCCTGTTCCCCACAGTGGGCTTCAGTGGGACTGAAAGAGCTCCAGCACTGGCTCCTCACTGACTGACTGGAGGAGAGTCATAACTGAGTCTGAAACAGCTCTTCAGCAGCCAGCAGTTGTTCTTCTGCTCAAAACTCACCTTGTGAGACTCTACAGCCTCTCTCAGCTTCTCAAGCACCTTCTGTCTCTCCTGGATTCTCAGCTGGTTTTTACTTTGCATCTCACCCAGCTGTCTCTGTAGGAATAACAAATAATCATGAACCTGAATCATGAATAATACTGCATGCTAAAAACAAGTAAATAGCTATACTTAAGAATAAATATATCAGTTTACCTGTTTCTCAGTCCTCTCTGCTGCAGCTGATACAGTCTCATGGTTTTTGTGTTTATCCATTGTACACAAATAACATATACACTGCTGATCAGTACAACAGAAAATCTCCAGTAGTTTCTCGTGTTGAGGGCAGATCATCTCCTGCAGTTGTCCAGTGGCATCCATTAGATTGTGTCCCTTACCTCTGAAGAAAGTTTCATGTTGTTCAAGATGATTTTGACAGTAAGAGTTCAGACACACCAGACAGGACTTGATGGCTTTGTTTTTGTCCCCAGTACACACGTCACACTCCACATCTCCAGATCCAGCGTAACACTGGTCAGGATGAACAGCTTGGAGTTTTGTCTTCTTGAGTTTCTCCAGCACTTCAGCCAGCATGGTGTTTTTACCTAAAACAGGTCTTGGAGTGAAGGTCTGTCTGCACTGAGGGCAGCTGTAGACTCCCTTCTGATCATCCTGATCCCAGTAGCCTGTAATACAGCTCATACAGTAACTGTGTCCACAGGTAAGGGCCACTGGATCCTTCAGTAGATCCAGACAGATTGCACAGTTAAATTCTTCCAGAGACCATGAAGTACTGGCGTCTGCCATTTTGCTGCGTAGAGACATGTACAACTGCCTAACTTTCGTTTTCTCCAAACTGAGGCGTTTCCCGTGTTGTGTGACAGTAAGGTTAGTCATTCTTGAGACGTGGGACAAAACAGGTCCAGCAAGGGTAACTGCTATTAGCTTTTTAATTTTAAATGTCATGAGGGATTAATAATAGAATGTATTTAACACAATTATCACCTTCAATTAAATTTTCTCATTATTATACCAAATCTGTGTTTCTTAAT